GTTAATGAGTTAAGATTATTTTGTTTAGATGTGTTTGAGCCAATAGAATGTTGAATGATTTGATAGTCGCTGGTGTTTATGATGTTCATGCAACCCGCCTTGGCAGTGTAACAAGCTGTAATAAATGTTTCCGAAAACAGTCCTTATTTTGTGCTGGTGTGTGAATTTTACTGTTAACAACCTCACTAAAATGTAACGACGAGTTTGACTTTTTGAGGTTTTTGACCGTTAAAACAATCGCCTATTGCATTAATGCCTTTTGTCTGCTAATGATATTTGTGTTATTATTGATGAGGCTATTAAAACACTGTTAAAATACTATATTTTAAATATGGTGAAAAACAATTTACATTAATAAATTGAAACATTCATTATCCACCGCATTATATGATGTGTACTCAATCTCTACATTTCAGTGAATATATGTGACCGTCACGGGGGGAATGACTGTTCCACGAATGCTGATTGCACTGCCATAGCTCATAGCTTCATTTGTGTATGCAAATCAGGATACGAAGACACTTCTGTGGATCCTATAACACATCCTGGAAGAGACTGTATAGAAATTGGTAAATGTGAAATGAGTAATTTATTATATTATGATGTTTGAGAACTCAAATTTATAGAGGGCATATGTATTCATATGTGCATAATCATGTCTATATAATCATAGCACACATAAACTTGCATATAATAAGTAAAAGAAATGACGTTATATATATATGATGTCACAAGCCTTCAATATGCAAATTCATATTAAATAGAAGGGAAAACGACAGAATACAAAACAATGACAACTAGACGACTCACGGGCGCTCAATTCGAGGTTTTCATTGAGCCTCAAGAGCGCCTCGAGGCGGTGGAGTTCTTCCGCTGTGTTTGGAGTCGACCATTAGAAACTAGGGTTTGGTTTGTTTTGATAAAAAAACAATACATATATGTTCAAAAATCCATACACATTTATAGATATACATTACCGTCATTGTGAAAGAATCTAGCCAAAAAGTGGAAATTGTACAGTAGTTTAACCACTCCCTGAGTTTGTAGTTTTAGTTACGTTTACAAAACCACGTCGATGGAACCGGTAATTATTAATACTTTTTGCCTACATTTTAATAAATGTTCACAGAAATGGAGGTTAAACACAACAATGGTTAAGCCCCGGCATTATACTATTTAGCTCTCTTTATTGCCATTAACTTACATAGACATTCGATGATAAACTAGACATGTCAAGTCATATATATCTATGGGATTGTGTATTTGCACTTCACGTTTCTGGTGTAAATATGTTTTTATTTAATATTCCAGACACGACAACCCGAGTAGTGTTGACTATCGTTCTTAGTATGGTGGGAGGTTTATTGTTGATAATCTCAGTCATTCTCATGATGATTTGCATACGAAAATTTCACAACCGAAAGCGGGATATTTACAGACGTAAAGATTATCACTACAATGAAGTACGATCACACAAAGTGTTTGAGTGGATTTTATCGCTGAATAACACACCGAATATGGTCATATATAACGAACAGTATGCTGGGAAGAACAAGAAGAAGAAAGTTTCTCGCACAAATGAAAGGTTGTTGTATGCTGAGAAAACTTCAACGGCAAGTGATCTGCTTTTTATTTATTTATTTATTTATTTATTTATTTATTTATTTATTTATTTATTTATTTATTTATTTATTTATTTATTTATTTATTTATTTATTTATTTATTTATTTATTTATTTATTTA